CTGTGTTATGAATGCATTAGGCTCTGTGTGCTTTTTTTTTTTTTTTTTTTTTTTTTTTCTCCCCATTTTGGGTTTTTTGTAGTTTTTATTTTTATTTTTTAATAAACATCTGTTTGACCTTACGCCTGAAGACTAATACCTTGTTACTTATTCTGTTGAATAAGTGCTGGAGCCACAGTGAACCTTCTGTGTAGGTTACTGGGCGACACCTGAGACACTCTGAGACTCGTCAGTCACACTGGGAAATGTTGCTTTACTCTATAGCATTTGTACTTATGGTCTCCATTTGTTTAAAAAGTAAAATTTGAAATGATTAGGATGAAATCCAGGTAGCTTGCATGCACCTCGTCAGCCTTTGACAGTGTGCTCAATGAGTTATGGATACTTTTAAATTGTTTCCTGTGGATCTGTTCATGTCTTTTATTACAATGATTTGTCAAAAACGAAATCTCTGAGATACTTTGTGAAATTAGCTTTGTTCTTTATAAAGATTTTATTAAGCCAACAGTGGATTTGTGTGGTCTAATTTCAGTTTAGTGCTAACTGCATTAAAACATACAGTGCAATAAACAGCAGTGACAAAAAGCTCCAAATTCTTTAATTTCATTGTCACTTCACTGCAGGTGATTGCAGAAAAAGACTGACCCACACAAGTTCCTTTCATTTCTTTCCGATCTGATGTCTGTTCAGCTTCATATGATTTTGGACATGACTTTGCTGTCTTTGGACACATGAGGTGTTTGCAATGTAAATAAAATTGTACATGCACAGTAGGTCACTTCCTCTTGTTCAAAAATGGAGGCACATTCAGGACAGATGTGTGAAGTGTAGTAAATGTACCTTTGGTAGCTATACTCTGGGTTTTGTCCAACCTAAATGCTTTCACACTTGCTGCAGTAAAGTGAGTGTGTTAAAGGATTCTACACGTTCTTTGAAGAGAAGTTGGAGCTGGACTAATGTCCAAGCACTTTCTCAGGAATCCACGGTGTGTGGAATTGGGCTTCTGATAATTGCCAACCACAGAAAATGTGATATTTTTATGGTTATAATAATACTACGTAATTGATTTTGGTTACACTTTATATTGTAACCAAGGCCTAATTACTGCTCCCATAGTATATTTAGCTTACTTTGTTTTTGTTTAGTTTTTACAACAGTAGCACAAGACGAGGACATACAAGGGTAACAGGAAAAGCTATAAACAGCTTGTCCTGGATGGGAGAAAAATAGAATTGAAATCTCAACTGTGATGAGCCTGATATGTTCATCTACACAGATGCAAACGTGCATGCAATTTTGCTCACATACCTATACTAATATATGTATATTCATGCATAGTGTTATCTATATATACACGTACCCATGCACTCATACAGAAATACTGATACACATAAATAGATCTGTGTGTAATTACAGAATTTAATTAGATGATGTAATTAGGTGCCAGTATTAATAATAGAAGAAGACATTTGCTGGAAGGATCTGAAAAGATAAATAACAACCCCGAGAAGTTGAAAGGGAAGCTTGAGGTGGCAGTGTTCAAATCAACAATATTAGTCTGAGTAAGGTGGTTGGTGATTTCCAAAGTTTGACACCATCTTTATTGTCCTTAGACTGAGGTCTGCCAGCTCTGAGCTGGACTCCAGACCTTCATCGATGGTAAATGGCCTGTATTTGTATAGCGCTTTTACTAGTCCCGCCTAGGGACCCCAAAGTGCTTTACACACCCAGTCATCCACCCATTCACTCTCACATTCACACACTGGTGGAGGCAGCTACAGTTGTAGTCACAGCTGCCCTGGGGCAGACTGACAGAAGCGTGGCTGCCATGTCGCGCCATCGGCCCCTCTGGCCAACACCAGAAGGCGGTAGGTGAAGTGTCTTGCCCAAGGACACAACGACCAAGACTGTCCGAGCCGGGGCTCGAACCAGCAACCTTCCAATTACAAGGCGAACAGACCATGAACATCATGCAAAGCATCCTTGTTTACATTGCTCTCAGTGGTTGGAGATCCTGTCATGAAGTCGGCCTAGTGAATCAGATGTTTCACTACTCCAGGGGTTTCCTGATTGGTATATTTCTGGATATCAGAATGTTACTTTGTAGGGCTAAAAATGGGGCTGTAAAAAAAGAAAATGAAGACAGAAAATGAATTATTCATTCAACAACAACAACAACAATAATAGTGAGTAAACGGGAAAAAAATTATTTAAAAAAAGGTGAACTGGTCCTGTCTTGCCACCAGGACATCCTGTTGTGTAATCGCTTATAGCAGCTTCAATAGTGACCTACACTATGTTGCAACCTCTGCCTGTCCACTCTTTATTTTTACTAGAACTAATGGATGTTTTTATTACTTGCATTTTAAAAAACATTTATATTATTAATAAAACTGTTTGTTACCGCAGTTGTACCAAATATATTGACTGCACTGTTTACTTCTCAAGCACACCATCATACCTACAGTAGAATGGTTGACAAAGAAAAGAATCAAAGAACTGTAGTGGTAACGCCTGGTCAAGGTCCAGACCTCTCATTGAAGGAGTAGTAACAGACAGAGGTGGGACCAAGTCATTGTTTTGCAAGTCTCAAGTAAGTCTCAAGTCTTTGTCCTCAAGTCTCAAGTCAAGTCTCAAGTAATGTCAGGCAAGTCAGAGTCGAGTCTCAAGTCACTGGTGTAAAAGTCCGAGTCAAGTCACAAGTCTGAAACTTTGAATTTCAAGTCCTTTCGAGTCATTCAAAAAAACAAAAAAAAGCATGTTGCAGTTATATGCTAAATGTAAATATTAGACCATGTAATTTTTAAATCTGTGTTTTTCTCAACACATGACAAAATAGTGAACGTAGAAAATATACACAAATTGTGAAATTGCACCTCTTTAAAATGCAGCTCAATTAAACCTAGCTCCAAGAATAATTTTCACCGACAGTTCTGAGATAAGCTGCATGTTATTCTTGGATGCGCTTGTAGGACCGGCTTTAAAATCGCATGACAAAAATATCATACACATTAAAAAAAACTGCATCACCAACGTAGCCTGGACAACATTTGCTAGTTAGATGAAGTCAGCTATCTCATCGTAGCATATTTATATGCATATTTATAATCATACGGTTCTTGGAGTGAGTGCATACACTCATGAAGTTTAGTAACTTCAGGTCACTGCAACAAGCCCAGGTACAGTTTACCGACGGATGGGTGCAGGACCTTGAAATGCACCGTGTAGAACGAAAGACCATCGTACGTATCATAAGTTTACCAGTCTCACAAACTGTCGTCATAAATACACATTCCTTAACCGTTTATTAATAGGACCTTTGAGCTCAACGATAATTAATTAGTAGTGGAAATAATTTCTGGTACCCATCACAGAAATGTAGCAGTGACAATAATATTGTATGCTGTAATCGCACTGGGCAATTAGTGATACAAAAACCTGTTTTATCCTGTGAATAAAAGTATATGTTTTTGTCAGTGTACCATAATAACAGAAGCGAAACGCAATATTGTGTCAGGACAATTCACTATTTATGCACAATAAATAAAGGAGCATAGCGCGACAATTTCTGTTCAGTGCCAGACTTGCTTGTAACCTATATCACCAATTATGTTATGAAAATGACGTATTAACTACTAAAAAACACTGACCTTTGTGTAAATGCTTGGAGCAGACTAACCTGTGAGCTGGAGTGTTCTGGGACGTTATATTTGGTCTTTGAATGGCTGCAATCCAGGCCATCCGTCGCGTCTTTGTTACTTCGGAAACATGGCTCGAACAATTTCTCTTCAACGACGTAATCCGATAACAACCGATCTCTTTACCCGTCGGCTTCCCGTGGCTGTCATGCGACCGGCTATTGCAGTTAATAATACAACAGCTTCTTGCCATTTTTGTGTTTCTTTTTATCGCTGTGTGACTGATTTCAATTGAAAGTCTGTGTGCGCTAGTACCTCTTGCCACGAGTTCCCAGAATCCTTTGCGGTTCTACCCGTGAATGACGTCACATTTTCAATCTCTATATAATATGCATGTTAAATTTTATATTTGGGGTAAAATATCAAGTCTTTTCAAGTAAACAGGTTCAAGTCCAATTCAAGTCCCAAGTCATTGGTGTAAAAGTCCAAGTCAAGTCACAAGTCTTAGAACATTTTTTCAAGTCAAGTCTAAAGTCATAAAATTAATGACTCGAGTCTGACTCGAGTCCAAGTCATGTGACTCGAGTCCACACCTCTGGTAACAGATCTAACAGTTTATCATAATAATAGTAATAACTGGATGATTGTTTACAAGTGCTGCAGCCTCTGCACTGATAAGGGTAACCCCACAGTGCCTGCATCTGCACTATACAACCTTAAAGCCTCTGTCAGTGCGCCCCAGGGCGGCTGTGGCTACAATGTAGCTGCCATCACCAGTGTGTCAATGGGTGTGTGAATGGGTGGGTGACTGGATATGTAAAGCGCTTTGGGGTCCTTAGGGACTAGTAAAGCGCTATATAAATACAGGCCATTTACCATTAGAAATAATCGTCACTGGCTCATAGTAAAGCTAGTTTCCAGAAACATTACCAAATGTGGCCACAAGATGGCACTCATTTACAGGAGCAATAAAGCTTTTATGTGACAGAACTCTGCTAGGAGTTGCACAGTGATCACTTTCTCTTTAGTATATTTAATATATATTTTTGTTTAAGCACCACAGCATACATTGTTTCTTGATTTCTACGTCAGATCCACCCCTCGCTTGTCATGTCCTATAAAGACCAGGATGGTGATGATAAAAATGTTCAGCTTCAGGCTTCCCAACAGGACCTCACAAACAACAGCATGACTAAAGTTGATGTAGCAATAGCTAACTTAGTTAGTGGGTGTGACTGACTGCACCTTGCACTGCCAGGCTCAAAATCAGACACATGATTTAACTTTAAAGTCAGTGGAAACATCAAATTACAATGAAAAACATCCCTTCAGATGGCAAAGACAAAATGGCATGACATTGCATAAATATGTACTTTTTATTTGTTTTGACACAGAAAAATAGGAAAACACAAAGCACAACGCATATTTATGAAACCTTCCACACTTGATGGTGTACAGCATTTGTAAAAAATGCTTTTATCATCTTTGATAAAAGATCAATGATGGGAGAGAGAGAGATCACAACAGAATGATTGAGGTTGTCTGCAGCATTTGTTTTGCTGAAAAAAACCCTGCAAGATAAAATTAAGGTGGGCCGCTCTGCAGCTGTCACTATAGAAATGCTGTTTCATGAGTCTTTGTGCTAAATGTTCTGTTGGTTTCCCTTTACATTCAGGTTCTGTTTCCTTTTATTTCCATCTACACATACAAACATCCAAAAAATTCCCTTTGCTATGATCATGTGACATCAGGATCTTGATGCTGCATCTCTTTATTAAAATCCAACACCAGATCATTTCTGTTCACATTCTTCCTGAGCTCCATTTGAAAGCTCGACGATGTAAAGCAACTGGCCAACAATCCATAAGGAAAAACCTTCATCTTGTGCCTTTCTGCCTGGAGCTAAAAGACTGTATGTTATAGAGCTCTTCTCCCTGACTTCAGCTCTATGTCGCTCTGTCTGTATTGTGCTGAAGTCTTGAGAGGACATGATGACTCCATGTTTTTGAAGGGGGACCTCAGAAAGCCAAGAATATCCCCCTGAAGCTCCTGGTCTTAGCGACTAGGGGCTTTCTGGATCTCCACGAGTGCTTCTCACCACTGTAACCGAGTCAGCTGTTCTGGAGTGGAAGAAAGAGGAGAGACATGTGTGTTTGGGTTGGTGGCATCAATTTATTTACTTTTTATTTATTTTAACTAAAGACCAGAGATGGGCAGTAATGCGTTACTATAATCCGATTACTTTTTTCAAGTGACGAATAACGTAAGGGATTACTATCGCACACTATAATTAGATTACTGTTACTTTCCCGTAAGCTGCCTTACTGCGTTACTAAATTGTCGTTATTTTGTTTGTGAAAGTGTCTCATGACAATGACGTAAGGGTGTGCAGATCAACAATGATATGGAATGTGGGAGAGAGTACATCCATGCAGCATTTAAAGCATGGATGTACTTACATTACTTTTAGTTTTCAAGCAAACCTCCACCCGCCTCACTCCTGCTAAACAGGTGAACATAGATTTAAGAGCGACAGGACTCAGTGCTGCTGAATGATTTTATTTATTTCCTGCTGTGTTTTACTTGCATCTATTTGAAAGAACGAGTGTAAACACAAAACATTATTATATTTTATATCATTGAATATGCAGAACATAGGTTTAAATGTTAAACACATTTCTTCAAGTCAAAGATTGTTGCATATAATTAAAATTTTTGCTTAATGCAATGTGCATAAAATTGAAAGATTAAAACAAATAAAAAATTTTAGAAAGAGGCTTTCCATTTGATTCAATTTTATATGATGGATTATGCAGAAAAAGTAGAATATGGCTCAAAGGTCTATTGCTTTATTACGTATTCAGGTTGTGTATCATGTTTTTGAAAAGTAACTAAGTAACTACTTATATTTGATAATAAGTAATCAGTAAAGTAATGGGATTACTTTTTGGAGAAGTAATCAGTAATGGTTAACTAATTGTTTCAAATAACTTGACCAACACTGGTCCTAAGTCACACAGTAATAAGTTATCTAATCCAAAAAGAATCAAAAGTAGAATGTGAAGCAGAGCCATCAGTCTGGGTTCAGGAGACAGACAGCTTAGTTGAATTGGGTGACCCTGAACCATGCCTTAGTTATTACTGGTTTACACTGGTTGACTTCCCAGGATGCACTGAGCCCCTCTCTTCTTTCCACTGCTGATGTGTTTACATGTCACTACTGAATGTCATTAACTTTGGTCTTGTCTCTCTATGCACTGTTTTTTCCTTTTTACTCGCAACCCAACCGGACTGCTGACCAAGGTCTCTTCCTGTTAAAAAAAATTAAATTCATTTGAATTCAAATTGATTTATATAAAGACGCAACAAATCCAAAAAATAATAAAAAAAAAAAAAAAGGTTTTCTTCTGCTGGTCATCAAATTGTTGGGGGTTTGACTTTTACAAATGAAACACTTCCGGCCTAAAATTTGATTTTTGAATAAAAATCCACAAATAATCTATTCCATTACCTTTGTTCTGTGTGTAACCCTGTTCTGTACATGCTCTACAGAGACGTCTGGCTTCTCCTGGGAGTCTACACTGCTTCCAGTGCAGTGCGGTGCAGAACCTGCCTGGTACTGCCTGCCACTCTGGTTTTCCCAGCAGGCAAAACCCTTGTTTTTAGACATTTTCCTGTGAGTCCTGTATTTCATTTTGGGGAAGGTGTGAGCACCACTGTCTGCCGCCTCCCAGGCATGTTCAGGCCACAGTGGTTCAGTCTGGGTAGCCTGGCTTATGGTGGCTCTCTGCAGGCGCACAGAGATTCTCTGGGCTGAGCCCGTCATCAGGGTGATGGACTGAGTGTCGAGAGCTGGAACTGC